CTCCCTTGGGGCCTGACCCTAAGAGTACCGGAGACAAGAGATTGCCAGCAGCAATACTCTTCTTTGACTTTGAGGAGATGAATCACCTGGCTAAACTTTAACATGGCTCCCTAGGGCATCTTACAACTATGTGTGAAAAAGATGAGAGTTGGACAAAACTTTAGGAGTCGCGTTAAACTGCCACTACCTTTCACTGGCAAACTCGAAACACCAATTCGCCACAAAGTTGGCACAAACCGTATTCTTTGGGTGAACAGTGCTACCGGACCAAAATGGCAGGCGGCGCCAGTCAAAATACAAAAACGCGTTGCACATGGTCGTTTTCAGGTTAACGACTTCGTATCCATACCATCGCGTCTGACACGGTCAGTGCGGCGGGGGCGGTCCTCCAGAAGCACCAATATATCTTCTGTTCATAATGGAAGCAATTGCAAGACCGAGAATGGACTTGCAGGACAGAAAGTCATACCGATTCCAGCTGGTATAGCCTTTTGCAGATGACGTGACGGTAATTTTGAGAGCCTCCCGCCACGGTCTTCCTCAGAACACAATGCACCCTCATTTTGGCTGTACCTGATCAGAAAGCTAGGCTTGTATACATTCATTATCAGGGTGTGTTCAAGGGAAGCCAGTGGTCCTGGATCACCTGCGAGGGTCGGTAGGGATGGACTGCCCAGAATTATGAAAGGAATACTTTGGCTGGTCTGCAAATCCTGGTGTCCAAATTGCAAAAGTAAATTGAAGATTGGACGCAAAGGACGGGGAATATCGCTGAAACAAAACAAAATGTAAGCGATGGAAGGGCACAAACGATCTCCATTTGGGAAACAACTTTTCCCACAAGGGGTCTCCTCCTATTCTCACACAACGTCTTCCCGATAACCAGGCCATACTCAACAAAAGAGGGATAGGCATGGCCGGTACAAGAGAACAGATCAAAGGCGTGGGTTAGTACGCGTGTTGGAGACTCACTGTGCATAGATTGACTGACAGTAAGGCAGGTTTTGAATAGTAATGACTCTTGAATAGAAACGACTGACTCACTGTAGACGCTAAGCTGGATGAAGTCCAAGAGGCCGTAAGAGCTTTTGAATAGTAATGACTGACTTACAGATGGATAGCCTCCATCAGGACAGGGATGCTCTCTAGAACGGAGAAAAACGCTAAAGCCGATAAAGCCCGAGAAATAGGAAGGGCTTTCGAAAAGGAGTGCCTGGGTGGAAGGAAGGATTAGCCCCCATCAGGAAAGGGAGACTCTGAATTAGGACCCGATGCGGAACAGGACCGAGTCATAACGAAAGACCACTTTGCTTCAGCCACCAGTACGTCTTGAGAATCACAAATGAGCCTCTCCGAAAAGTTTGCGGACTCGGGACAGCGCCTGCCTGGGGGCGAGTGGAAATTGTGTTTTTGTTCAGTGCCGCGCCTGGCCCCAACCCAAGGCGCAGGACAATTTGTTCGCCCCCACCCACCCTTCTGAGACCCTGTCCCGAGCCTCCGGAATTTTAGAAGAGGCTCAATCACGATTCTCAACTTGGATGGGGCCATGTACTGGTGGGCTGACTGAGAAGGGACTGTACGGAAGGGTCGCATAACGTAAGGGTGATGAGGCAACAAGGCAATTTACTGGCGACATGGGGATCCAGATAGCTAACATGCGCATCACGGGAAAGTGAGACAGTAGCAGGCTTGTTCAGTTTGGCTCAGCGGTTCTAGTTTCAACGTACAATCTGACAGCCTGTCTACATGAGGACGTGAGAGGAAGCGATGAGAATTTTCGGGTACACCTCTGTGTAATGATGATACATTCAGGTGACTGTGTAGTTGGCAGTAGATTCTCCTTATGGGGGGGGGGGGGGGGAAGCAAACAGTGCTGCCGATAGTTTCCCTGGCCCTACAAGCAAGGGAAATTGCATGCGCAGTTGGGGGGGTTGGGGAGGGGGGGGGGGAGAAGCAATCAGTGCTGCCGATAGTTTCCTACAAGCATAATAGACCGGAGCATCCGTTTTATAAAAGCAAAATTCTAAGGTTCAGGTTCGGCAAAATTACCTCAAGAATAATAGTACCTGAGTTTCCGGAAAAGTATCTAGAAAATAATCAATGACAAAAATGGTTGGAACTTGGAAATGATGAAGCGTTCATCTGTTACCATTTATGATGAGTTACGTAACATATTATTCTGTTACGTAACTTACGCTTCAAGTAACTTTTATTATGAGCTCTATATCCATTATATAAATTATATTAATATATTCATAATACAATCATATACACAATCCACCATGTCTACCAACTCCATCGTATCCTTATGGGTATAGCAGGATTTGAACCTGCGACCATTAGGTTAAAAAAAAAGAGCCCAATGCTCTACCAACTTTTAGACTATTTACTTGAGAGACCATAGAACTGGACAGCTACTTGAGGCACCGACATTGTCGCCAGACAGACGACCTAGCCGGAAGTTTACCGTTGTCAAACTCCTAAGAGTTGCTGACTGAGTAAGTTCCGTAACTTTATGGAATTTCATCCCGCGCCCTGATATACATCCGTTCCACATGGGGAAGTGATGTCATTACTTAAGTCCTTAATTCTGTCTAAGAGCGTACTCACATTAGGACCCTTTTATTTATTTCTGGACGTAATTGCCGTCAGATACATCCAACTGGGGCTGCAATTACGGTCAGATACATTTTGGATGGTGCTAGTGCTTGTATGCTCTTAGAAGCTGCTTGATGATGCCTCCTGTAGCCCTTTATAGACCGATGATTACAACTATTGAAGCATGTGAACTCAAATTCCAACATAATCTGACCGCTTGAGATCGGAGTCCTGAGGCGATCAAGAGAAATTTGCACTGCTCCACTGGAGGAAATTCCCAATGCTCTCCAGGGAGCACAAATGTGCATTGAGCCAGAAGTGCGGATGCTTTTCTGCCAAGCTGCCTACACTGTCTGATTCAGACCATATTCGGACTGCTACCGAGGGATGGAGCATGGACCCAGGGTTGGACCAACTGTTGGACCAACTGTTGGACCAAAGGTTAGGAACTTAGGACCAAGGGTGAGGAACTTAGGACCAAGGGTTGGCCCCCCAGGGTTCGGCATCATTTAATGCTCCCTCAAGGATTGTTGTTGTGCCATAAAGCCTGACAAAGACCCCAAGACAGATGATCAAATAAGTGAAACAGCCCAGCTGACATACCCTCCAGGGATGACCAAACTACACAGACTTGTTTTGGCATTGTAACCTGACGATAGGACCTGAACTAGGTGCGTACTTCAAACCATCCTTCATTCCCTTAAACCGCCAGCGCACGGCCCCAGCCTTGCTGAAAAAGTTCCGTTGCCTACTCTGAAAATTCTGTGCCTTGGGCCTACCGGACCACAATGGCTGGCGGCGCCAGCCCAAAAAGAAAAAAAGTTTGCCGCTGGCAATTCGGCAAAGCTTGGCGCGAGCAGTGGAGCTCCTCCAGGCCCGGGTGTACTGGTGGTTTAAACCGCCCGACTCGCCAGTACCCTCCCCAGGCACCTTGAGAATTGAAATTAACTCAATTCGAAGATTTTAGATGAACAGTGCTACTGGACCTAAATAGCTGGCGGAGCCAGCCAAAAAAGAAAAAAGTGTGCCGCTGGCGGTTCGTTTTTCTTTGGAGCGCAACGCAAAAAGAGGCTCGGAGCTACTGGTGGTTTAAATCTATGGAACCACGAAAGTGACCTCCCTGATATATCTTACTCTAGATTGCACAGTAGCAGATGGCCTCCACTGGTTATCTACAACTCACCTTCTTCCCCCGAATACAATACCCGGTCATTATATCTGTATCTGACCTAAGAATTGCGCTAAATACAGATTTAATTACTGGGTGTTGTGTTCGGGGAAACAAGGTATTAATCAACTACAAAGGATAGCCTGGATATTAGTGCCGATTATGTCTGAGTGGACGAGGCAGAAGGGTGATGCTGGAGCGTTCACTTGAACACTTCAGTTCTTTTTTGGCACATGATGTCCTCCACGAGCATATAGCCTCACATATTGTGCTACCATTTACGATTGTGTTGTGATTGTTTGAGTGCCAATTACTGCAAAGTCCCCTGATGTCATATGACAGTACCATGGCAATATACTTATACAGATTCCCCTCTAGCTGGGGCCCGTTATTGCCTTATCATCTAGTGGGCGTCGATTCCGGGACAGGCTCTCATCTAACTGGGCTCTCGTACATAATACAGATGAAACTACTGCTCTTAACCCCACGCAGACTGGGTTTATTCAGACAAAAGAGAGGTCCTCTAATGCGGATGTTTGTGACGGCTGTGACTTGTCTTTTAGCAGAAGGGTTTGTAATCTCGAGTCAGAAAGATCTTTCGTCTACAGTATGATGTGCTATGCACACAGAGTCCGCAGACTCTGAGTTCATAACTTATAGACAAAAAGGAAGGTCCCCTAATGCGGATGTTTGTGACGGCTATGCAGTGCTATGCACAGAGAGTTTGCAGACTCTTAGTTCACAACTTGTCGACAAAAAGAAAGATCCCCTAATGCGGATGTTTGTGACGGCTATGCCTTATCTTTTAGCAGGAGGTTTACTCACCTCGTGCCAGAAACATCTACACTATTTTATAGTCTACAGTATGCACAGAGATTCTACAGACTCTTAGTTCATGACTTTTGACAATCGAGTGTGTGCTAGTTCGATAACGATACTGTGTAGTGGGTGGAGAATTCAACTCTATGACGACTACACTGCTGCAATCATCATCGGAGTTTCGGAACCGAGAAAGGCATTGCAGCTTAGGATGTACACTGGAGGAGAGACGGCAAATCGTTCTTCGAGAAAAAGAAGAACGGGATCGGATCTTGCAACCCAGGAAGCGATGGTCTTACCAAAGAGCTTGGAAAGTTGTTTGGTACGTTCCTAGGAGGGCTTACCAGAGTAACGAAGTCGGCCAACTATTGGTACCTGCACCCTGTGTGAGTGAGCCTGGAAAAGCGGACTGTCACGATTTAAGTTATTAGTACCTGCACGGTGTGTGAGTGATTGCTATACACATGAACAGTAGAGACGACCATTCTGAACCACAGGATTTTGCATTGCTCGGTTGCATCCTACGCTGCAGCTATAGCCGAACAGGAAGAGACAGAGGCAAAGAACAAGCAACAGGAGCAAGATCCCACCTCCTCTAATATCATTGCTTTTTGCTTCCCTCTCCTCTTGGCCGGATTGCAGTCTGGCTGCTGCCTTCGCCAGGATGAATGCTCGTGCTCGGGCTATCGTGCACCGGAGGCCCATCAACAAGAGGCCCGTCTCAAGTGCTGACATTGCAACACTTGCAATATGGCATTTTGCGTCCCAGATGCAAGCATGGGCATGGCCAGAAGACCCGAGAGTGTGAAGCCGGGGGATCTCGACCTCGTTCACCTCGTCATCAGTTGCCTTCTCTGGTTCTCGCAGAGTGGACACAGCAACATCCTCTCCACATTCGTCATCATTTGACGATGTCACACACCCCAACTCACTCATCTCTGTCCTCAATCGCCTGCTGCAGACAACTGGGTGTATGTCCCGACACTCTGTGTCACCCACATGTGACTCCGCACCACAGATTATCTTGTCATCCCTCTGTTTACTTTGGTTCTGCTGCTGATGAGTTTCTTCGTACGATGCCTGTAAGGTTTCCATGACATGCGAAAGGGCCTGTGCACACTTGGTGACTGTCTCCAGGCTGATGACACCTGATATCCACTCTATTCGATCTCCCGGAGGATTGGCCTCTGCAACATGAAGTTCATGCCATGCCAATAGCATATCAATACAAAATTACAAATTGCATTCTGCAAAAAAATATGAAGACAGTAAACATTTTGGTTTGATCAAAATCGCATCGAAAGCCACACCCTAAACAGGAATAGACTCAATAGAGTAAACATTTTGTTCTATGACACTCATCTCATCGAACCACACCCTCAGTACTGCATCAGTTTGAGCTTGCGCCTTGACCAATAACATGGACAATGGACCCTAGAGAGCACGCACAGGAAGACGGCAAAGCATCGCCACCATCACATGGATGATAACATAATTAGAGTATACTCACACTAGGTCCTTAAAACCTCAGAATCGCAAATTCAGCCGTCAGATCAAGTCCTCCTTTCAGAAGGACGCGATCTGGCCGCTGATTTTGCAATTCTGCGACCATAAGTGCCTAGTGTGAGTATGCCCTTAGTCATTACCATAGGATACTAGATGACTTGTTGCGGCTTTGCCCACAAGAAAACAGTAGGAACCCAGGAAAACTTGTTTTTTTCTTTTAATGCAAGCGTTTTCTTTGGGAAGCCGCTACCTTCTCATCATCGTTTTCTTTTTTTGCGCTGTCGGAAATGACCCACACAGTTGCATCACATGGAAGCATCACATGGAAAACATCACATGGCCACCATCACATGGATAACATAATTAGTAATTACTAATTACTAATTAGTAATTACCATACAATTATTACGATATTCATTGGAAGCAATACCAGAAACGACGATGCCATGTCCTTCGGGACATCCGTTAAAATTGGAACGATACAGAGAAGATTAGCATCGCCCCTGCGCAAGGATGACACACAAAAAAAAAAGAAACGACGAATCCATAAAAGGAGCTCTCAAAGAAATTGACAACTCTGAGCACATTGCACGACCCAAGATTTGGACTTTGTGTTAAGTGCCATGCAGCCACCAGGCCGCACAAGTGGTCAACGGGGACCCCCACTTTTCAGCTCTTGGTTTAAACCACTAGTCCACGGCCCCAGCCTTGCAGAAAGTTTTTGTCGCCACAAGCAAAACTCGGAGGCGCAGCGTGGCCAGGCCCGCTGTTGGAAAAAAAAACCGGCGGCCTCAGAAGTGGCGCGGGTTTCATGCCGACACCCGCTGGCCGATATGTGGTGTACTGGTGGTTTAACGGGTCCAAAACTGAAATTAGGGTTTGGGTCCAGGCCAGTATTCCTCAGAGCACATTGACGTGCACAATCGCACATAGTTGCACAAGACAATGACATCAGATAAGAAGAGGCCTTGCAAAAGTCATGTCTCAGGCATCGATGCCGCTACATGGCAGGAATTTCCTGTACCGAAGAGAAACATAGTGAACAAGAACAAGTTGGAAAAGCAGAGAGAGGGAGGAAGACAGGTTGGAGATAATCTTGAATGAGAAGCGGCAATGCAAAAGCCATGTCTTCTACCTTCATGCCGACAGATGGAAGGAAATTACTGTACTAAAGACAGTGTACAAGCACAATGTGCTGGAGGCAGAGAGAGAGGGAGGAAGACAGGTTGGAAGACAAACAGAGAGAGGGAGGAAGGCAGCTGGGTCAGTGGTTCCGGGGGCATAGTGAGCAGGTACCTGACGTCACTACTGAAAGTAACTGGTCCAGTGCTGACTCCACAACACGCCATTTCCTATCCTCCAGCTTCAGATGTGGAAACACTTGGGGACTGTTGTCCTGCAGCAATGACCTTCCAAGTTTAAACATTTGCTTTCGAGGAACAGGTAAGCAACTCGTATCTGGTTAAAAAAAAAGAAAAAGAAGGGTTAAAAAAAGCAACCCTTTCTTGGTGTCCGGTGTGTGGCTCTTGACGTCCTGAAGGCTGGCACTTGACATGCACCCATCTTCACAACAAGCTATGATTCTGTGAACTTTCTACGTTATTGGAGCTTGGTTGCCCATTGCTTGCCCTCAAGTTTCTCATGCCTACCACTCAGTGTGTTGGATTCGATGCAGGACTAGAAGGCAAATGTACCTTGTGATGGCCTGCTGCCTGCTGCTGGCATCACTCGTGTCACATTATCCCTTCAGATTCATTTTTTAAATTTTTATCAATCTTTCACATGTTCTGCCAATCGATTCAACGAATCTCCAGTTTTCTGCTAGGTATAAAACCAGCTACATAGTAGTCACGCCGACGGTCGGCGCCCCTGGATTGGTCGGGGGCCGGTCAGCACCTACCGGTCGGGGATCGGTCGGGGGTTGGTCGGGGGTCGGTCGGGGG